CTGACTGGGAAGAAAAAGTATTTCTACTCCATTTTTCCAGATGCAGAAACCAAAGTAATTTTTTTTTTTTGAGATAGAGTCTCGCCCCAGGCTAGAGTGTAATGGTGCAATCTCGGCTCACTGCAACCTCTGCCTCCTGGCTTCAAGTGATTCTCCTATCTCAGCTTCTCGAGTATCTGGGACTACAGGCGAGCGCCACCACGCCCTGCTAATTTTTATATATATATATTTTTTTTCATTCAAGAGAATTAAATCGTTTATTGATTACACATGATAATGGATGATACACAAGCTTCATTCCCATCTATAATTTTATCTGGTACCATTATTCAATTTAGATATATTGCATAGGATGTGCCAACAATCATCTTTATAACCAATAATTCCATGATTTTGCTTGGGTAATCCCTTTTAATCGTGAACTTCAGGTCACAACAGTAACTATTAGTTCAACTACACCAAGGGTGCTGAAGACAGTGGCTTCTCCACCCAAGCAGGTTGTATATAAATTCCAAATAGAAGCTGGCATCACCCTGAAGGAATTCTAACTTCACACTGTTGGGGAAATTTACCAAGATGGCTTCAGAGTAGACTAACTTTACACAGCACATTTAAAAAAAAGATATTTATTCAGCGTCACGATCAGACTATTACATTTAGCAATCAACAGCATGGGTGCGAAAAAAAAAGAAAAAGAAAAAGAAAAAAAATCTACATTAAAACCCTTTGTTGGAATGCTTTACACTTTCCACAGAACAGAAACTAAAATAACCTGTTATACAATCAGTCACAAATACAGTCCTCGAGTTTTTTGCCCATACACATGAGTATTGTCTAAAACATGTCTTCTTAGCAGCTAGGCCCTGCCACCACTGTGCTTGGCTGAGTTCACAAATCTGTTGTAACCTGTAGCTTCCCTGTCACTTCTCTGGCTCTCTTCTCTTGCTAAGCTTTGTTTCCTAATTAAAATCTCTGCCACTGCCATAGCTACTGCTGCTACTGGAACCTCCATAGCCACCTTGGTTTCGTGGTTTGGCAAAGTATTGGCCGCCACCACCATAGGGGCCAGAGCTTCTGCCTCCAAAGTTTCCTCCCTTCATGGGTCCAAAATTTGAAGATTGATTGTTGTAATTGCCAAAATCATTGTAGCTTCCACCACCTCCAAAATTGCCTCCATCATTACCAAATCCATTATAGCCATCCCCACTGCCACCATATCCACCACCACCACGGCTGCCACCAAAGCCACCACAACCACTGAAGTTTCCTCCGCGACCAAAGTTGTCATTCCCACCGAAACCACCTCCACGACCACCACCAAAGTTTCCAGAACCACTTCGACCTCTGGCTGGATGAAGCACTTGCCATCTCTTGCTCTGACAGGGCTTTCCTAACTTCACAGTCGTGGCCATTCACAGTATGGTATTTCTGAATGACAATCTTATCCACAGAGTCATGGTCATCAAAGGTTACAAAGGCAAAGCCCCTTTTCTTGCCACTGCCTCTGTCAGTCATGATTTCAGTTACTTCAATTTTTCCATACTGTTCAAAATAATGTCTTAGATGATGTTCTTCAGTGTCTTCTTTAATGCCACCAATGAATATTTTTTTCACAGTTAAGTGGGCACCTGGTCTTTGAGAATCTTCTCTTGGGACAGCTCTCTTTGGTTCCACAACTCTTCCATCCACTTTGTGTGGCCTTGCATTCATGGCTGCATCCACCTCCTCCACTGCTGCATACCTGACAAACCCAAAGCCCCTGGAGCGCTTGGTGTTTGGATCTCTCATTACCAGTCAGTGAGCATTCCCGTTGCTCAAAATGGCTCCTCAGGCTCTCATCAGTTGTTTCAAAGCTCAGCCCTCCAAATGAAGAGCTTTCTCAGCTGTTCCGGCTCTTTAGGAGACTGACTTAGACATGATCGCAGGGAGAAGAGAGACTTTAACGATGCTTCTTCGGCGGCGTCCACGGGCAAAAAAGCTAATTTTTATATTTTTAGTAGAGTTGGGGTTTCACCATGTTGGCCAGGATGGTCTCATGATCTGCCCAACTCGGCCTCCCAAAGTGCTGGGATTACAGGTGTAAGCCACCCCGCACCTGACCCAAAGTAATATATTTAAAAATGTGAACCAGGTGATGCCATTCCCTTGCTTAAAATTTTCCAAGGGATTCCCAATGCTATTAGAATAAAAGCCAAATTTCTAATTGGCCCAGCAGACTTCATATGTCTTGCGGACCTCATGTGGTGTAGCCTCAGCCTCCTGGTCTGACATCCCATGCACATATTTCTTTTTTGTTTTTTTGAGATGGAGTCTCACTGTGTCTCCCAGGCTGGAGTACTGTGGTGTGATCTCGGCTCACAACAATTTCCACCTCCTGGGCTCAAGCGATTCTCACAACTCAGGCTCCCGAGTAGCTGGGACTACAGGTGTGCACCACCATGCCTGGCTAATTTTTATATTATTAGTAGAGAAGGGGGTGGGGGTTTTACCATGTTCGCCAGGCTGGTCTCGAACTCCTGGCCTCAAAGTGATCTGCACGCCTTGGATTCCCAAACTGCTGGTATTACAGGCGAGAGCCACCACACCCAGGTGTATTTCCACTTTCTAAATAAGCCTCTTCTATTTTTCAGATAAGGTCACTGAGGCCCTGGGGTTAAATAGCTTTCCCAAGGTCATGCATGGTAAATGGCAGAGCTGGGATACTGACTCCGGCTGTCGGGCCCCGGAGCCTCTGCTCTTAACCATTAGGATGTACTCTTTTTCCCTTATGTTCCTGGGTGGTTTCTGAGCACCCAGACATTTAAAAACTGCTGCCCCACCCACTGGCTGGGAGACACCGCAAATGCCCGCCTCGGGGAAGAGCAGGATGAGGGTGGGCTGGGGAAGTGGAGAGGGGAGGCAGGCCCTAATTGAGGCCAGGGTTCCTAGTGCCTCCAGAGCTCATACGAAGGGAGAAGTAGAGTCAACACTGGTAATGCCTTTTTGCAGTTTTCAGTTCTTATCTTCCTGTTCTCCTTTGCAAATCTTGAGTTCAGCCTTTGGAACGCCGTCCAGGTGAGTCTGGATTCTTGGGCGGATCTGCCCTGGCTGGCTGGGTGGGTGTAGCTCTGCCTCTCAAGAAACCCAAGCAGCTCCCTTCCTCTGGGGCCTCAGTACAGAACACCTGCTCCCTCAGAGGCCTGGGGCTCTAGTGCCCAGGTTCACAATTGCTGCGTCTCCTTAGCTGATTTTGCCAAACCGCCTACACCCAGCTGCTTCCCAAGCTAAAGTTTGATTTCTCACTCTGTGTTCTCTAAACAATGGTTCTAATATGATCATGCTCAAGTATCAGCTGAGGAGCTTATTAAAAATGCAGATCTTGGCCAGGCAAGGTTCACACCTGTAATCCCAGCACTTGGGGTGTCGGAGGTGGGAGGATTACTTAGGACAGGAGTTGGAGGCCAGTCTGGGCAACATAGTGATCCTCTGTCTTTATGTTGTAATATTTTATAAAAATAAAAATAAAAAAATTAGTCAAGCATAGTGATGCACACCTGTAGTCCTAGCCACTCAGGAGGCTGAAGTGGGAGGATCGCTTGAGCCCAGAAGGTTGAGGCTGCAGTGAGCGGTGTTTGCATCACCGCGCTCCAGCCTGGACAACAGAGCAAGACCCTGTCTCTTAAAAAAAATGCAAATCTCAGACAATCTAGGAAATTGGAATCCTAGTGGGATATTTGATATTAAAGCAAATTTAAGAATTATTGAATTTTAGGAGTGACTGGTGTGTGTGTGTGTGTGTGTGTGTGTGTGTGTGTGTGTGTGTATTAAAGAATCCTTATCTTTCAGAGATACATGCTGAAATATTTTTCAAAGAAATAATATGTGTGGGATTTGCTTCCAAATAATCAGAAGTGGGTAGGGGAAGTGGGTGGGGTGTGGATGACAGAACATTCACTAACTGCTGTGGCCGAGTGAGGTGGACATGGGGGTTCCCTGTACTATTTTCTGTACTTTTGCAGGTGTTTTAATGCTTCCATACTAAAAAAGTTAAAAAAAACCATAAAGCATGCCCCTCACTCATTCTGGGGTACCTTCTAAGGCCCCCTGGAGGGGTGCGCAGGGGAGAATCCCTGCAGGGGATCTGTGCCGTCACTCTGGAGAAGCAAAGCTCATTCATAAAGATGCAGGTGGCTGTTGCAGCCGCCCCACCCCTGGGCAAGAGAAACTACCTAATTGGCTTGTTCTGCCCTGCCCACCCTCTGTCAAATAATAGGAAAAGACAAGACCCCTTCCAAAGCAAAAGGGCACATTTGCTTCTGTCTCTTTTTACCTGGGCCACAGTGGAAGCTGAATTTTAGCCATTGGGCATTTCATAGAGTCTTCTATTTTTCTTTGAAAGTAGAATGTTTTGGTTAATCGTTGATAGGATGGTGTGATTTTTCTATTTTCCAAAACTATTTTTATTTTTTCATTTTGTATTGTTTTTATTTTTGAGATGGAGCCTGGCTCTGTCACCCGGGCTGGAGTGCAGTGACTAGGCTCACTGCAACCTCTGCCTCCTGGGTTCAAGTGATTTTCCTGCCTCAGCCTCCTGAATAGCTGGGATTACAGGCGGGCGCCACCGCGCTCTGCTCATTTCTTTTTGTATTTTTAGTACAGGCAGGATTTCACCATGTTGGCCAGGTTAGTCTCAAACAACCGACCTCAAATGATCCACCTGCCTCAGCCTCCCAAAGTGCTGGAATTACCCGCGTGAGCCACCGAGGCCCTGGCCCCCAAAACTATTTTTAAATGTTATTTTGTTTTTACAAGTTAAAGGGATGTTTTGGTTTGCCGGGGTCCTTCTAAAGCCTCAAGAATCTTGTCCTCAACCCTCAGCTTCCTGAGGGGCAAGTTACTTTCATTAGAAAACAAATGAATGCTTCCTGCTGAGGACTTAAGGTCATGGCAGAGGGCACAGGGGGGCGGGGGCCGAGCGGGCTGGCTGGTGGGGCAGGTTTGTCCTCACCCACAACAGGTCTGTGTTGATACAACAGAGCCGCCTCCTGGCTCTTTGGGAGCCTGGGAGGAGAAGGAGCCGGGAGGGGCGCTGCGGGGAGGCCACCTGTGGATTCACCGGCTGCAGCCCCGCCCAGGACTGCTGGCAAGCCCGTAGGGCCGCCAGACTTGTGGCTCCCTGTTCCGTGCATCAGGTCGGGGAAACTACTGTCTACCCCAGACCCCCACCCAGGACCGGCCTGGAGGAAGCTGGGGTAAGAAGGGTGTTGATGCTGTGCTTTCGATCTGCATGAAGCGAATGCCTGGGGTCTCTGGTCTATGTTTGCTTGGCTGTAGTTACTAGACAGGGCAGTAGGAAAGCTTTGAATTCATCTTGAAGTCAAAAGGTACAGATATGGGGCCAAACCATTCACTTCTTGAGGGATGTTGTTTATCCTCTGGTCCACACATGGGAAAATGCTTCTGGAGCGCCCACTTTGTGGTCCTATTGACCTAGACTGGTGTGGGAGTGGAAACAGGGCATGCTTCTAGCCTCATGGATTTACTGGTTTGCGTGTGGACAATCCAGGGAGTTAAACAAGCGATTACAAATGATTGCTCTTCTGGGAGCATGTAGGAGGGGGCTCAGTTCCTTGGCGGTGCTGGGGGTGCCAGGGAAGGCTTGTGGAGGAACAAGATCCTTACATGGAGACTGGAGGAGTGATGGGTCATGCGGGACATGCGATGGATGGTGGAGAGGACAAGGTTGAGGTTCCAAACCCAGGGAAAGCCTGGGCAAAGGTCCTGAAGAGAATGGGAGCTGGGGAGAAACGCGGGGTCCCTGGAGAGGCCACAGCTGAAGGAGAACACAGAGGAAGCCAGATCCTGCAGCCTTCGGCTGGGCAGCTTGAGGACGTTGGAGTTGGTCTTGTGGGGAACCGGGACAATGGATCAGCCCAGGAGATACTCTGTACATGATCAAATTAAATCGACTCTGGAGGTGTGGAAGTTCTTCCAGAAGGTTGACTTGGGGGGAACAGTGTGGCTTGGCAGCAGGAAGGCCATCAGGATCTTTGGGAATAGCTTCTATACCCTCCTTCTGCCCTTGGCTCTCATATGGCCTTCAATTGAGCCATTGGAAAGAGCTTCCTTCCAACCCCTGGGAGGTATCCTTCCCTGCCGCCTGTCACCCAAGTGACACTAGAGGCAGTCCAACGGGCAGCATGACTTTGATTAAGGTCTATTAAGGAGTGGATAAATGTTCAGGAGTGAGAAACTGCTACACCCCAGGGTTTGGAATGCATTGATTGCTGTTGGGAAGCCTCTGACGCACTGGGGCTGGGCTTCCTGGCTGTGTATGCTGTGTGCGGGCTGGTGGCACTGGCTTGGAGACCATCTCCCAGTTTCATAGTTAAACCCTGGACGTGCCATCTATTACAGCATGGTGGATGTTTTAATCTATTTCAGTCTATATGTTTGAGATTCCCCTTTCAGGAGTGTTTAAGTCTTAGTTTTTTTTTTTTTTTTTTTTTTTTTTTAATCAGCAGTGTCGATACGCACTAAGACTGTATGTGGAACTGTATCTTGCAGGTCAGTTTTGGCTAACCTAATTCACAGCATTCCCCTCCCCCACCCACCCGTGGGATGTATAGGACATACAGATTTATTCCTGCTGACTGCGAAGGGCTCTATTTAATCATTCTCCTATTGATGGATACCTAGGTTACGTCCATTTATTATAACGATTACATACGATGTTATAAGAAACATCCTCGTTCGTCTGTTTCTCCCTACATATCCAGGCCTATCTGGATAAATAGCAGTGGAAATCTTGATTTGTGGATATGAGGGATATACGATATGATAGACACTGATAAATTGCTCTCTGAAAAAGCTATAAAGAATTTACACTTTAACGTTGGATATACCCAGTGGGCATATGGATTAACCAAACCTTGTTCTGATGACAAAAACTATTTTTCCTGACTGGACAAATGGAGGACAAAGTATTCTGGAATCCAGAGTTGGTCGGATACCCAGGATTGAGTTCCGGAGTGACATTCTAGTGTATTAAAGGGCCTGTTTTCTCATACTCTCTACAACTCAAATCTTTAGTCATATTTTAAAATATTTTGCCAGCCGCATGCAGTGGCTCATGCCTGTAATCCCAGCATTTTGGGAGACCAGGGTAGGAGGATCACTTGAGTCCGGGAGTTCAATACCAGCCTTGGCAACGTAGCAAGATCCCGTCTCAACAAAAACAAATAAAAATTAGCCAGATGTGGTCATGCACACCTTTAGTCCCAGCTACATAGGAGGCTGAGGTAGGAGGATCTCTTGAGCCCAGGAGGTTGAGGCTGTAGTGAGTTGTGTTTGTGCCACTGCACTCCATCCTGGGTGACAGAACAAGACTGTGTTTCGAAAATAAAGTATAATATTTTGCCAGTCTGATGAAGGGCATAAAGTGCTAACTTGTTTATGTTTTTAGAATCAGGATAGCCGGGCATGGTGGTATGTACCTATAGTCCCAGCTACTCAGGAGGCTGAGATGGGTGGATTACCTGAGCCTGGGAGGTAGAGGCTGCAGTGAGCCAAAATTGCACCACTGCACTTCAGCCCTGGGCAACAGAGTGAGACCCTGTCTCAAAAAAAGAAAAAAAAGTCTCCCCAAATCAGGAGTGATTCCTAATGCATTTATTTTCCCTGTTGGATTTTAATTTATCTTAAATTAAACATTTCATCCAGGCTGGGTGTGGTGGCTCATGCCTGTAATCTCAGCACTTTGGGAGGCTAAGGTGGGAGGATCACCTGAGGTCAAGAGTTCTAAGCCAGCCTGACCAACATGGAGAAACCCCTTCTCTACTAAAAATACAAAATTAGCCGGGCGTGGTGGTGCATGCCTGTAATCCCAGCTACTTGGGAGGCTGAGGCAGGAGAATCTGGGAGGCAGAGTTTGCCCTGAGCGGAGATCACGCCATTGCACTCCAGCCTGGGCAACAAGAGCGAAATTCTGTCTTAAAAAAAAATTTGTCCTAAGGTTTTCACCCATTGATTACCTTAAATGTTAATATCTTTTTCTCCTATAGACCGAGGCTGGGTCAAGATGTCGTCTGTGTTTCGAAGCGAGGAGATGTGTTTGTCGCAACTGTTTCTCCAGGTGGAAGCTGCATATTGCTGTGTGGCTGAGCTCGGAGAGCTGGGATTGGTTCAGTTCAAAGATGTAGGTACTGAGTTCTTTGGAGATAAGAGGAAGGCAGGGGCGGGAGTAGATAACTCTTGCACAACACTTCTTTGTGGTGAACAGTAGCCATTTTGTAGAGAGAGGAGCCGTGAGCTGAAATTGATGAAATTCTGTAGTTCTAGTGCTTCTTGCTGGGATTTGTCGTGACCAGGCAAGTCATTAAAAAATGTGTTACTCCTCCCTCCATGTCTGTCTCCTCTGTAGGAATATCTTGAAGCTCTAATGCAATCACTACATTCTAGATGTCATGGAATTTTTTTTTCTTGTGTAGCATCTTCAAACATTGAATATAGCCAATGAGTATATGGATTACCAAACCTTGTTCTAACCATAAAAACTATTTTTCCTGACTACACAGGTGGAGGACAAAGCATTCTGGAATCCAGAGTTGGTTGTAATACCCAGGGTTGAGGTTCAGAGTGATATTCTAGGGTTAGGGTGTCTTGATTATGACATTGGAGTATCATTTCCCAGGGGCAGTTTAGATCCTCACCAAGCTCTTAGTCTAATTTAGAAAATCAGTCTTTCTTTACTTCTTCACTAAGGTCAAGGTCAGAGCTAAGCTCCTGCAGGGAAGGATCATATCTTGTTCTTCACATCCCTAGTTCTTCACAGGACCTCATATGAGGCAGGTCCTCAATAACATTTATTGAGCTGAGCTGAGAGTTGAAGTTTTGTTTGTGACTGTGATACATTACATGGAGCTGTGTGGTCTTCAAGGCCTGGTCGTTTCCATGACCCCGTTGAGGATTTTCAGACTCATTTAGATAGCCAAGCCAGAGAAATAAGGTAAACTTAGATGAGGGAGGTCCTTCCTCCCTCCCTCCCTCCCTCCCTCCCTCCCTCCCTCCTTCCTTCCTTCCTTCCTTTGACAGATACATGATTTGAAAGATACATGATTTGAAAATGAATATGACTTTCTCCCATGCTGTGGAATTTTTTACTTTCTTGATAGTGTCCTTGGATGCACAAAAATTTTAAATTTTGATTAAATCCAAAAAATTTTTTTTTTGAGGCAGTGTTTTGCTGTGTCTCCCATGCTAGAGTGCCGTGGCACAATCATGGCTCATTGTAGCCTTGACCTCCCAGGCTCAAGCCATCCTCCTGCCTCAGCCCCCTGAGTAGCTGGGACTACAAGTGTGTGCTACCACGCTCGGTTAATTTTGTAGTTTTTTGTAGAGACAGGGACTCGCTATGTTGCCCAGGTTGGTCTCGAACTCCTGGGTTTAAGCGATCCACCAGCCTCGACCTCCCAAAGTGTTGGGATTACAGGCATGAGCCACTGCACCTAGCCAGGACTTTGTTTCTTTTTTTTTTGAGACGGAGTTTCACTCTCGTTACCCAGGCTGGAGTGCAATGGCGCGATCTCGGCTCACCGCAGCCCCCACCTCCTGGGTTCAGGCAATTCTCCTGCCTCAGCCTCCTGAGTAGCTGGGATTACAGGCACGCGCCACCATGCCCAGCTAATTTTTGTATTTTTAGTAGAGACGGGGTTTCACCATGTTGACCAGGATGGTCTCGATCTCTTGACCTCGTGATCCACCCGCCTCGGCCTCCCAAAGTGCTGGGATTACAGGCGTGAGCCACCGTGCCCGGCTGAGGACTTTGTTTCTTTTAGAAACGGTAGGGTGAAAGTTGAAGCATTTGGGCGATTGAGTATAAAACACCAAGGCGTGTTTCGCCTGTAACTCACCTGTCTTGTGCATGGAAGTATGTATTCCTAAGATAATTCCAGCAACTTCTCTAGCATTAAAAAGATAATACAATAACCAAAAGGGGGCTGTGTGCGGTGGCTCACGTCTGTAATCCCAGCACTTTGGGAGGCTGAGGTGGGCAGATCACCTGAGGTCAGTAGCTTGAGACCAGCCTGGCCAACATGGTGAAACCCCATCTCTACTAAAAATATAAAAATTAGCCGGACGTGGTGGTGGGTGCATGTAATCTCAGCTATTCGGGAGCAGAATCGCATGAACCCAGGAGGTGGAAGCTGCTGTGAGCTGAGATCGCACTACTACACTCCAGCCTGGGTGACCAGTGAAATTCCGTCTCAAAAGAAAACAAAAAAAACAAAAAACAAACCAAAAGGAACATATTGGCAGCTGTTGCTACTAATGTGTGTCTTATGATTTTTCCTCCCCTAGTTAAATATGAATGTGAACAGCTTTCAAAGGAAATTTGTGAATGAAGTCAGAAGGTGTGAATCACTGGAGAGAATCCTCCGTAAGCCAATTTTTTTTGCTTACTGTTCAAATGTGAACTGGCAAGGGGGTCCAGAGTTTGCACATTAACAAATGTGGCCCTATTTGCAATACTTTTTGAGGTGGTCCTGGAGGCCCACCTGGAGGGAATGGGGAGGCTGGGGGTGGGATCCAGGAGCTGTGGCAGCTCCTTGGACAATTTAGGCAGCTGAGGTGAGCGAAAGGCACACATCTTGCTTGAACTCGTTTCTTAGTCATGAGGAAACACAGTCACCTTGGGGTTTCTGGTGGGTTTTCATTCCTCAGGTTTTCTGGAAGATGAGATGCAAAATGAGATTGCAGTTCAGTTGCCTGAGAAATGCACACTGACCCCGCTCCCACGGGAAATGATTACCCTGGAGGTAAGTTCTTCTCCACTTTGCTGGCCTCCCAGGCTAAGGACAGCCATGAAGCCTGTCTCCTTGAAAGCTCTGAGAGCCGCTCGCAGGTCCTGTGCCTGGTTGCTGAAGGCACGGGGGGCGGCAGGCTTGCATGACTGTCCTCTTCTCAGGGTTATGGCCCCAGGAAAATCCCAGTGTGCAGTTTTTAAGTCTGGAGAGAGCTGTTTTCCTTTCTCAGCATATCCTGAGGGAAGCTTAGCCCACTTTGAGGAGTGATTGCTTTTGTGGGCTTATGATTCTTACAGGCAGTGGAGTCATCTATGGGGTTCTGCTGAATGGACTGACTGTGGCTTAAGGGATGTTTTCTCATTCTCTGTCTGGGGAAGCAGCTGATGAGTTGGACCCATTCTAGATGGAGGCTGCTCCTCTGACTGGCTTCTGTAGGTCAACTGGGAGAAGACTTCCATTTTCAAGGACATCTCAGCTGCTGGGGCTCTCCCTTTTTCCTTTCCTTCTCTATTCCCTTCCCTTCTGTCTTTTATAAAACACTGAATACTGGCTGGGCGTGGTGGCTCACCTCTGTAATCCCACCACTTTAGGAGGCCAAGGTGGGCAGATCATGAGGTCATGAGTTCCAGATCTCCCTGGCCAACATGGTGAAACCCTGTCTCTACTAAATGTACAAAAATTAGCTGGGCATGGTGGCGGGTGCCTGTAATCCCAGCTACTTGGGAGGCTGAGGCACGAAAATCACTTGAATCATGGAGGCAGAGGTTGCAGCGAGCTGAGATCGCACCACTGCACTCCAGCCTGGGTGACAGAGAGAGATTCTGTCTAAAAAACAAACAAACAAAAAACACTGAATACCTGCCATGTGCGAGGTACCTTAGAGAGAAATAAACATGACCATGCCCTCCAAGAGCTTGTAGAGCAGATGGTGGGAACAGGAATGAGGGGCAGGGCTGGGAGAGGAAGTAAAGAGGTTGGCAGAACCAGACCATGGAGAACGCTGGGGGCTTAATTTAAAAAGCAGCTATTTTATCCTCAGTGGTGGAACGGCTCATTCAGGGTATGGGCAAGTAGGCAAGGCTTCACTGAGCTGAGCCTTTTCTCTGGCTGGGATTTTTTTTTCTTTGAAGATAACTTCAAATTCTTGGAAAATTTAAAGCCATCAGTAGTATAAATTTTGATACTCACATCAAAATATTAGATTGCCATCTTGTAGAAAATATTTTGGACCTTGTCATATTTCTTTTGAGACGGAGTCTTGCTCTGTTGCCCAGGCTGGAGTGCAGTGGTGTGATCTCAGCTTACTGCAACTTCTGCTTCCCGGGCTGAAGCGATTCTCCTGCCTTAGCCTCCTAAGTAGCTGGGATTATGGGCATATGCCACCACACCCCATTAATTTTTGTATTTTTAGGAGAGACAGGGTTTTACCATGTTGTCCAGGCTGGTCTTGAACTCCTGACCTCAGGTGGTCTTACTGCCTCGGCCTCCCAAAGTGCTGGGATTACAAATGTGAGCCACCGTGCCTGGCCTATTTACTGATTTTTACTGTATTACAAGTTAAAATGGAAAAGTATGTAAAATATTAATGTATTAATTCAATTGAAAATAACAATAAGATCTCATTATATACTAACATTTTTTAAATGAAAAATGACTCTTTTCCAAGACAAAAACACTTTCATGAGAAAGGTGGCATTGTTTGTGAATTTTTTAAGTGCTTAGCTCATAGGCACTGCTTTCTCACACCTGCTTCTAATTTAAATCGTTGGTGATATGTTGTTTTTATTGAAGTAGTGGAAGGTAATCCAGCCTTACACAGATAAGTAGTTGGAAAAGCAAGGAATATTTTAATCGACTTTTCAAATAATTGTGGATATTCTTCTCTGATACTACACTGAAACTTGACGAGCATAGAGCCTGTCTTGATTTTGTTAAACAGGTAACAAGTGCTTTTGTTTTCAAATTGAGTTGGCTATAGTACTTTAAAAAAGGAATTCATCCAACTGGGTTTAGTTTTGGCTGATTTCAACTATGCCAAGGCACACACATTTTCAAGTTTCACCACTTTGAGTTTAAAAGATTTTATTTTGACTGAATAATAACTAATAAGATTTTCTGGGTGGGGGGAGCTAAAATTTGATTGAATGGCCCTTTTTTAAACTTTTTTGTGAAATTCATTGTTTTGGTCTTTGTTTATCTTTTTTTTTTTGAGACAGAGTCCTGCTCTGTTGCCCAGGCTAGAACGCAGTGGCACAATCTCGGCTCACTGCAACCTCTGCCCTGTGAGGTTCAAGCGATTCTCCTGCCTCAGCCTCCTGAGTAGCTGGGATTACAGGCATGCACCACCATGCCCAGCTAATGTTTTTGTACTCTTAGTAGAGATGGGGTTTTGCCCTGTTGGCCAGGCTGGTAATTTCCAACCTCAGGTGATCTGCCCACCTTGGCCTCCCAAAGTGCAGGGATTACAGGTGTGAGCCACCTCACCTGGCTAATGTTTATTTTTTATCTCTTTGGTAAAGGTGTATCTTAGACTAAAAAAAATATCTAGCATATAGGCCGGGCTTAGTGGCTCATGCCTGTAATCTCAGCAATTTGGGAAGCTGAGGCAGGTATATTGCTTGAGGTCAGGAATTTTGAGACCAGCCTGACCACCATGGTGAAACCCTATCTCTACCAGAAATACAAAGAAAAAATATATTAGCCAGGTGTGGTGGCTCATGCCTGTAATCCCAGCTACTCGGGAGGCTGAGGCAGGAGAATTGTTTGAACCCAGGAGGTGGAGGTTGCAGCGAACTGAGATCACCCCACTGTACTCCAGCCTGGGTGACAGAGTGGGACTGTGTCCCAAAAAAGAAAAAAAAAAATCCAGCAGGATATTTTAAGGTGTTAAAGCTCTACACATTTGTAGGAATAGTTGGATAAGGGGCAATCAGATGTGTGCACAAGTCTTTCCTTAGTGTTATTCTTCTGAATGCTATTTGCTGTAAAAATGAAATTAAAACAGCACCAGGGCTGGGCATGGTGGCTCATGCCCATCATCGCAAGATTTTGGGAGGCCAAGACGGGAGGATTGCTTGAGCTCAGGAGTTGGAGACCAGTCTGCCCAGCATAGTGAGACTCTGTCTCTACCAAAAAAAAAAAAAAAAAAAATTACCTGGATGTGGTGGTGTGTACCTGTGGTCCCAGCTACTTGGGAGGCTAAGGCAGGATATTGGGTAACAGAAGGTTGAGCCTGCAGTAAGCTGTGTTCACACCACTGCACCCAGCCTGGGCAACAGAGTACGACCCTGTCTCAAAACAAAAACAAAAACCACCACCATAAAATTAGGAGAGTATTATCTTTTACCATTCATTGTTCACTGGGATTGATTTGTTGGTTGATTGATATGACTAACCTGCAGTTAGCTGTGTTCCCCCAGCATTGCTAGAGTCGAATCCTTTGGCAAGATACACCAATGGGGCCGGGCGCGGTGGCTCACGCCTGTAATCCCAGCACTTTGGGAGGCCGAGGCGGGTGGATCACGAGGTCAAGAGATCGAGACCATCCTGGTCAACATGGTGAAACCCTGTCTCTACTAAAAATACAAAAATTCAGCTGGGCATGGTGGTGCGTGCCTGTAATCCCAGCTACTCAGGAGGCTGAGGCAGGAGAATTGCCTGAACCCAGGAGGCGGAGGTTGCGGTGAGCCGAGATTGCGCCATTGCACTCCAGCCTGGGCAACAAGAGCGAAACTCCGTCTCAAAAAACAAAAACAAAACAAAAAAAAAGATACACCAATGGCTCTGGGTCCCTGCCTTGTCAGTTTCTAAAGAGCCTTTTATAACAGTCCTAGAGGAAATACTAATTCAGGAGGAAGAAAAAAAAGAGCCATCCCAGCAGAAACTGCCCTGACTTTTCCTTGTTTTCAGGTGTTATTCTCATGCAGCTCTATTTTTATATGATTACTTATCCATTATGTATGGTAATGGCAGCATTATTTTTTGGTATCATTAAGTGGAGAGAGGAAATGATTAGGAAATGGAGATTTACGTTCCCCCCCAACTTTGTGTCATTATGTTGAGTATTCAAAATTCAGGATAATGGCTGGCTCTGTGAGGGGACAGAACGGAGTGTGACTGAAGCTGGTTGATGGGTGGATGGGATTCGCTCTGCTAGTGTGCCTTTGAAATCTTCCATAGTAATTCAGTTTTGTCTAATCCTAAGCATTTCAGGGGGAGCTAACATTTACAGGATTATCATTTTTTATTGTTATTAAAAAAAGTCTCTTTATGCCAGGCGTAGTGGCTCGTGCCTGTAATCCCAGCACTTTGGGAGGCTGAGGCCAGTGGGTCACTTGAGGTCAGGATTTCAAGACCAGCCTGGCCAACATGGTGAAACTCCATCTCTACTAAAAATACAAAAAAATTAGCTGGGCCTGGTGGTGCACACCTCCCAAGCTACTTGGGAGGCTGAGGCAGGAGAATCGTTTGAACCCAGGAGGCAGAGGTTGCAGTGAGCCAAGATTGTGCCACGGCACTCCAGCCTGGGTGACGGAGACTTTGTCTGAAAAAAAAAAAACAAAAAACAAAAAACAAAAAAACTCTGTTAACAGTGTCTCTTAGATGTCTTAGATGGACTTAAAACTATCTAGCGTGATGATCTCTTTAAGAGGTGACCTTATTCCATTTCCATTTACTGGGACTGCTGATTTACTGGCTTTTTGGGCTATCATTGCTTTTGTTTCTTACTTCCCTTCCCTTTCCTGTCTTTCTGAAATACCTGCCAGCCCTTCCCCACTAGCCCTTGGTGTGCAAGCTACAGATGACAGTTACACTTGACACCTCAAGACACATAGTCACTCAATTTTTCTCATAATATTTGACACTGGTTCAATGATCACCCCTTTGTGGATATATGTCCTTTTTTTCCCCTAAAGTTTTGTCTTTGTTCTGTGATAACCTGCTTTTTGCCAGCTAAAATGAACTCTGTCTTTTTCTCAGACTAAAAGCTGTTCAGGCTTTATGTTAACTCCTTGAGCCGGACAGACTCCATCTTAGCTTCTTCATTTTCGTTATTTTCCCACCATTAAGTATGTAACTGTAGTATGCAGCTGGGGCAGGCTGACACTGGGCACCTCCAGGAATGCATTTGTTGATAAGAGGCTGAGCTAAGGGGTAGCAGCAGAGCCTGGGAATGCAGGTGCTGTCGAGCGCCCAGAGCCCCCATTATCTGTAAGTTCTATGTCTTTCATGACAAGCTTACCCCTCGTACCTGGCACTGTCTCATGTACCAGTTTATCTTTTAACTTTTTTGCTTACTCTGCTTTTGTGAAAAATTTGCTTCAGCTAGGCTCCCCACCTCCCCTTCAAAACTACGGTATAAAAGACCACCTAACTTTTTCTTAGGGGCTGAGAGAATTTTGGGTGTTAGCCACTTCCCGGTCACCTGCATAATAAAGGACTCATAATTCAATCTCAGAGTGTGGCACATTCCTTGACTCGCTCGGGTACAACAGTTCTATAGTTTCACTCCTGTGTGTTTCAGTGTGGATTTGTTATTGTTTCTATTAAACGTTAAATTGAATTAGTAGATTTGTGTGTGTGTGTGTGATGGAGTTTTGCTCTGTCACCCAGGCTGGAGTGCAGTGGCACAATCTTGGCTCACTGCAACTTCCACCTCCCAGGTTCAAGCGATTCTCCTGCCTCACCCTCCCCAGTGGCTGGGATTATAGGCGTGTACCAATACACTCGGCTAATTTTTGTATTTTTAGTAGAGACGGGGTTTCACCATGTTGGTCAGGCTGGTCTTGAATTCTGACCTCAAATGATCTGTGCACCTCAGCCTCCCAAAGTGCTGAAATTACGGGTGTGAGCCACCGTGCCCAGCCTGGCCTAGTGTTTTAAATGAGGAGAGGCATGATTTGCCAAAATGTCTTGACTTCTCCATGAAGCGGCCATCCACTCCTCCAGGTACTTCCTAATCCTCTCATATGGCAATGGAATTCCTAAGAGAGCGCGCACGTGTGTGTGTGTGTGTGTGTGTGTGTGTGTGTGTGTGTGTCCGTGTCTGTGTGTGTGTGTCTTAGGGTCTGCAATCATGTTATGTGCTGATTCCTTTGATTTTTTTAAGTCATCTGTTGTGGGTAATGTATGTTAGGAATGTCATAGTACTTTCTGCTGGCTTACCTTCTTTTTCCTTCTGGCACAGACTGTTCTAGAAAAACTGGAAGGAGAGTTACAGGAAGCCAACCAGAACCAGCAGGCTTTGAAAAAAAGCTTCCTGGAACTGACGGAACTGAAATACCTCCTGAAGAAAACCCAGGACTTCTTTGAGGTGGTCATATGGGGATGATTTACTAAAGGGGCTGTTCCTCAGAACCTCAGATTTCCATTTTGGAAACTGGCTGGCCTGGGATCTGAGTAAATCGCTCTGTTTCTGTTCCATGGCTGGGCTATTGGTAAGGACGGGGGAGTATTTTGGGTGGAATAATTGTAGTGCTGGTTGAACTGAAGGCAAAAATATGATGGTGCTCAGTAAAATGTACGTGCTTAAAATGGCTCGGGCAGAAAGAGAAGTCAGAACCAAGCCCAGCAGTTGGTTTGAGAAGTTTTAGGGTTTTGGTGGGAAGAGATCAGGGAAGCTTTTTGATCAGGCCAGCACTCTGTTTTCTGACTTCTGTTAACTTTTTGTGGAAAATAAATGCTTCACTAAAACCAGATGAAATCTTGAGGTATGGGTGCCTTTTGAGTCTCCCTAAATATATTTAAATGAAAATCATAGTGCTTTGACTTTCAGACGGAAACCAATTTAGCTGATGATTTCTTTACTGAGGACACTTCCGGCCTCCTGGAGCTGAAAGCAGTGCCTGCATATATGACTGGAAAGTTGGGGTTAGTGTAACTCTTCTGTGTAGATGGGTCCCTGGTCCTGGCGTGTGATTTCTGAGTGAGTGAGTGAATGAATGGGGGAACAAATTGCTGGAATGGGGACTGTTTCCTATGGATGCAAAGCCTTTGCTGAGAAATAGACCCACATGTAACTTACTAGGTTGGTGGAGTTGGAAATGGTATTAGTTTCTTGTTAGTGGTGATGCTAGCCTTCTTGAGCCTGAAGACTGAAATGTTTATATTGCCCCCACATGGGAAGCTGTGGGGCCCATTGTTGAGATGGTTATCACAACTCTTCCCTGGCGTTGGAACAAGGCTATGGGGACATATGTTTTTCCTTTCTCTTTAAAATACTATTTTGGGGGCCGGAGGTGGTGGCTCATACCTGTAATCCCAGCATTTTAGGAGGCAGAGGTGGGTGGATCGTTTAAGGTCAGAAGTTTGAGACCAACCTGGCTAACATGGTGAAACCCCATCTGTACTAAAAATACAAAATTAGCCGGGCATGGTCACATGCACTTGTAATCCCAGTTACTTAGAAAGCCGAGGCAGGAGAATTGCTTGAATCCAGGAGGCAGAGGTGGCAGTGAGCCAAGATTGTGCCGCTGCACTCCAACCTGGGTGACAGAGTGAGACTCCAGCTCAAGAAAATAAAATATTACTTTGATAATAAAATGCATTTGGAGTTTGAATTTTTATTTTATTTTATGTTCGACATGGGGTCTGGCTCTGTTGCCCAGGCTGGAGTGTAGAGGTGCCATCACAGCCCACCGCAGCCTTGACCTCCCAGGCTCAAGTGATCTTCCTGCCTCAGCCTTGCGAGTAGCTGGACCACAGCCATTCACCACGATGCCAGGCTACTTTTTAAAAAATGTTTAGTAGAGATGAGGCCTTGCTGTGTTGCCTGGGATACGTTTTTGAATGTAATTAGAAATGGAGGCCAGATGTGGTGGCTCATGCCTGTAATCCCAGCACTTTGGGAAGCTGAGGCAGGAGGATCACTTGAGGTCAGGAGTTTGAGACCAGCCTAGACAAAATAGCAAGACTCTGTGTCTACAAAAAAAAAATTTTAATTAAAAAAAAAAAGGAATGAGATAGTTATGCAGTCAAGTTATTTCCAAGAAGCAGTAATATGATATGTGATAACCATGAAAATAATGTGGTGATTCCAAATGGTGGAATTTTGTTCAGTGTCTAAGTGAAATTGATGCATTTGAAAACATTTCTTAAAGTTGTGAGTTTGGGATTTATGGTATTTATTCAATAGATATTTGAGGGCCTGATATTTGAGGCACTAGGCATTAAATTTGAATTAAAAATAAAAGTAATGTTTATTGGAAATATTTGATCAGAAGGTAAAGCAGGATCAATGTACATTTAAAGTAGTAAGCCAGTGAAAGCCACTGGCTAACATGAGAAGTTTGGGTCAGCAGTTAGCTATATACTTAGATAATGGGAAAAGCAGAGATATATAGACATCAGTGTATGTTTCCCTCTTAGTAGTAAAATATTTTTGGAAAAATGCATAGAGACCACTGTTGAATGTTTGCTACTGTTAGCCGTGAATGGTCTATCATATTCTTTTTCTTTTGAGACGGAGTTTCGTTCTTTTGCCCAGCCTGGAGTGCAATGGCGCAATCTTGGCTCACTGCAATCTCTGTCTCAAGGGTTCAAGCGATTCTCCTGCCTCAGCCTCCTGAGTAGCTGGGATTACAGGCGCTCACCACCACACCTGGCTAATTTTGTGTTTTTAGTAGAGACAGGGTTTCACCATGTTGGCCAGGCTGGTCTCAAACTCCTGATCTTGGGTGATCTGCCCACCATGGCCTCCCAAAGTGCTGGGATTACAGGTGTGAGCCACCATGCCCGGCTGGTCTATCATATTTTCAGCTGCAATTAGTGAAGTTATAGTATTGGAATGATTAAGGAAATTTCAAGATATCAAAGAAAACAAAAGATCAAAGGGACGTGGGGCAAGTCGGGGCTGGATGCAGGATGGCCTTGGGACCCCTGTCGGTAGAGCTGTGTCGGGGTCCTTCTGTTTCAGACTGAATGGCCCTTCCTTTCACGGTCCGTCTTCACATCCTGCAGGGCCTTCTGTCTACACCCCAATCCCTGTATCTCAGGAATGCCTTCCCTTCTGGCTGCCTAGGTTCATAGCCGGTGTGATCAACAGGGAGAGGATGGCTTCCTTTGAGCGGTTGCTGTGGCGAGTTTGCCGAGGAAACATCTTCTTGAAGTTCAGTGAGATGGACACCCCTCTGGAGGATCCTGTCACGGTGGGAACCTCAGCTGCGAAAACTTTCTCTGAGGCTTCCATAGCCCTCACTAGAAGCACTTTGTTCTCCCAAAACATGGAATATTTAGTTTGATGAGACTAATATCTATTTTCTTTCTTTCTCCTTTCTTTTATTTTCTTTCCTTTTACTTTGTTCCTTTTTAACAATATATATTTTAGCCAGGTGCAGTGGTTCATGCCTGTAATCATAGCACTTTGGGAGACCAAGGTGGATGGATCACCTGAGGTCAGGAGTTCGAGACCAGCCTGGCCGACATGGTGAAACCCCCATCTCTACTAAAAATACAAAAATTAGCCAGGCATGGTGGTGCATACCTGTAATCTCAACTACTCAGGAGGCTGAGGCAAGAGAATCGCTTGAATCTGAGAGGTGGAGGTTGCAGTGAGCCGACATTGTGCCACTGCACTCCAGCCTGCACGACGGGAGCGAGGCTCCATCTCAAATATATATATATATATAGTATTTGAAATGTCAGTTTCAAGAACTGATTCTTGTCAATACCTTATAATTGGTTCATTCTTCCCAGAGACATAGCTATACTTTTCTCTAGATCTTATTTATACCAGGTGGCAGCTGTATCTTAAAGATCTGAGAACTGATTGAGGTCAGCTTCTCAAGCTTCAATGTGCATGTCAGCATAAAGGTAACCTGGGGATCTTGTTAAAATGCAAAAATTCCAGGCCAGGCATGGTGGCTCCTGCCTGTAATCCCAGCACTTTGGGAGGCTGAGGCAGGAGGATCATTTGAGGTCAGGGGGTTGAGACCAGCCTGAGCAACATAGCAAGACACCATCTCTACAAAAAAATGTAAAAAGTTAACCGGGTTTGGTGGCACACACCTGTAGTCCCAGCTACTTAGGAAGTTGAGGTGGAAGGACAGCTTGAGCCCAGGAAGTCAAGCCTGCAGTGAGTGATGATCATGCTACTACACTCCAATCTAGCCAACAGAGTGAGACCCCCTCTCCAAAAAAAAAAAAAAAAAAAGCCAGGCACAGTGGCTTGTGCCTGGAATCCCAGCCCTTTGGGAGTCTGAGGTGGGTGGATCACCTGAGGTCTGGAGTTCAAGACCATCCTGGCCAACATGGTGAAACCCTGTCTCTACTAAAAACACAAAATTAGCTGGGCATGGTAGCGTGCACCTGTAATCCCAGTTATTTGAGTAGCTGAGGCAGGAGAATCGCTGGAACCTGGAGGCAGAGGTTGCAGTGAGCCAAGATTGTGCCACTGCACTCCAGCCTCTCAAAGAGTGAGACTCCCTCAAAAAAAAAAAAGCAAATTCTGATTCAGTGGGTCTGTGTGGGGTCTGAGACTCTGCAGTTCTTGCAACTCCCAGAGAACGCTGATGATATATTTGCCAATAGATTCCACACTTCAGACAACAAGGCTTCGAGGGGCTCGTCCCTGAGTGCCATACAGTGTTTGCTGTGAATTCTGGGTATTGCTGTCTCGCCTTCCAGTTTTATTTAATCCACTTACTCTTTAATTCCAAGAAACTAGGCTTATTTCTGAGTGTCTATAATCTTTTTCAGATTAAAGTCTAAAAAAATTAAATTTTTTTTTGAGACAGTCTTGCTCTGTTGCCCAGGCTGAAGTGCAGTGGCGTGATCTCGGCTCATTGCAACCTCTGCCTCCCAGGTTCAAGCAATTCTCCTGCCTCAGCCACCCAGGTAGCTGGGAGTACAGGCGCATGCCACTGCACCCAGCTAATTTTTGTATTTTTAGTAAAGATGGGGTTTCACTATATTGGCCAGGCTGGTCTCGAACTCCTGACCTCGTGATCCACCTGCTTCGGCCTCCCAAAGTGCTGGAATTACAGGTGTGAGCCACAACACCTGGCCTAAAAAAAACTAATGAAAAACAACAAAATTCATTTTGATGAAAAACAACTTTAAAATAAATGAAATTTAAAATAAGAAAGATTGTGAAAAAAAATGAGAAACCCCATCATCAATTTAATGTCTTTATTTTTATTTTGGCTCTTGGACTATTTTTCTCTGTGGCCATAGGCAGGTATAATTTTATAGGATTGTAGTATACATAGAAATTTTTTTTCCTTCTTTGTTTTACCTAATATGAGATCCCTCGCCATATTACTATGCATCTCTTATAAAAATTATTTTTAAAATTTGACATTGAATCATCACTTTTCATAATCCTGTTCTGACATGTAACAGTCATGGTCGGAGAGAAAGCATAAGCATCTAGAAAAAGATGAGCATGGACGCTGAACGTCACCAAAGGGAAATTATGAGATTAGAACAGATTCCTGATTCTGGTGGATCAGAAGAAAAGAAAACCCAGGAGATTCAGAGAAGGACCAGGGTAGACTCCACGGGCAAAGAAACCTTTTGGATCCGTATGTGGTGGCTCACGCCTGTAATCCCAGCACTTTGGGAGGCCGAGGTGGGTGGATTACTGGAGGTCAGGAGTTCAAGACCAGCCTGACCAACATGATGAAACCCTGTCTCTACTAAAAATACAAAATTAGCCAGGTGTGGTGGCTCATGCCTGTAAACCCAGCTACTCGGGAGGCTGAGGCAGGAAAATCGCTTGAACCCAAGAGGCAGAGGCTGCAGTGAGCCAGGTTCACACCACTGCACTTCAGCCTGGGCAATAAGAGTGAAACTCCATCTCAAAAAAAAAAAAGAAAGAAAGAAATGAAGAAACTTTTAGAAATGATGTAACGCAGCAGCTCTGAAAATACTGAAACACCCCTACCTGCTCCCGTAGGCAACTGTTAAAGAGAGGATTCATTTTAATAGTATTTTAAGGGATGCCTCATGTTTCCCCTGAGTTGCTGTGATATTAACCATGTATTTTGGACACCTTATTTCTAATTTTCTCCAGAATGTAGACACCATTATGAGCATCTTTATGCATGTGGATTTTTATTTGCTTTTGAATTACTTCCATAATAAACAAATTCAAGGAAAATAGGATTGCTGGCTTAAAGGGAGTGTGCATTTTAATGACACACATTGGCTTCTGACAAATGGCCTTTCAGTGGTTTTTCTGATTCTGCTGCCTTGAGTAGTATGTGATGAGTCTGTTGGATTTGTCACAACTTTTCCAGCAATGGGTTTTGTTTTTGTTTTTTAGTTTTTTGTTTTTTTGAGATAGGATCTCACTCTGTCACCCAAGCTGGAGTATAGTGATATGCTCACTGCGGCCTTGACTTTCTGGGCTCAAGCAATCTTCCCACCTCAGCCTCCCTGGTAGCTGGGACCACAGGTGTGCACCACCACACTCGGCTAATTTTTGTATTTTTTGCAGAGATGGGGTTTTACCATGTTGCCCAGGCTGGTCTTGAACTCCTGGGCTCAAGCGATCCACCCACCTCAGCCTCCCAAAGTGCTGGGATTACAGGTGTGAGCTACTGCACCTGGCCTGGGTTTTATAATTTTACCTTTACCTCCCCAAACTAAATAAGAGTGAAAGAACGCATTGTTTCGGTTCATATTTCTCTGCTTACAGTAAGAGTTAAACATTTGCATGTATGCTTGTGGAACACATCTTCCTTTCTTGTGAATTGTCCAACTTGGACTTGACAGGTGCGATGTAAGCAGCAATCTTATGGCACACAAGCAACTGTGAGTCAAAAAGTCTGAGCAACTGTATGTATGAGTCAAAACGTGGGCATGGCTTTACCTTTGTTAAATATCAAACACCTACGCATCCCCAAAATGTCAGTGTTGTGTGTTAATTAACTCCGGTGAGCCAGTGTATCAGCCAGCTAGCTTCACTTCAAGCCTTGCAATATTCTCTTCTGAATGTTTTCTTGTTTATTATCACATCTCTTGCGGGACTTAGAGCTGAATATAAGATCTGGCTGTGGTCCAACCAACATAAGGAACGGGGAGCCTCTCACCTTAAGGCTGCATCAGCCTAAGTGAAGTTCTGGACCGCCTTGCTCTCAACTGTGAGCCATGAACTTAGATGAACTGGGGAAAGTTACAGTTTCCCAATTTTTTTTTTTTTTTTTTTTTTAACAGAATTTCACTCTTGTTACCCAGGCTGGAGTGCAATGGCGCGATCTCGGCTCACCGCAACCTCCGCCTCCTGGGTTCAGGCAATTCTCCTGCCTCAGCCTCCTGAGTAGCTGGGATTACAGGCACGCGCCACCATGCCCAGCTGATTTTTTGTAGTTTTAGTAGAGACGGGGTTTCACCGTGTTGACCAGGATGGTCTCGATCTCTTGACCTCGTGATCCTCCCGCCTCAGCCTCCCAAAGTGCTGGGATTACAGGCGTGAGCCACCGCGCCGGGCCAAAGTTTCCCAATTTTAAATTTATGAGTTTTGTAAGCCTAAAAACAGGATTTTACATTTCTCTCTATTGTGTTTTAACCAGAAAGAAACCCCCTTCTTCTTTTTCTTTTTTTTTTTTAACTTATTCCAATTTTCCAGAAAGAAGAAATTCAGAAGAACATATTCATCATATTTTATCAAGGAGAGCAGCTCAGGCAGAAAATCAAGAAGATCTGTGAAGGGTAAGAGGGAGTGAATGGCTCTTTCTTCAGTGATTTGGGCCAGGTAAAGATACGGGCAATGCCAAATGCACATGACTGTGGCTTCTAGAGGTCAGTAACTTTCTCACATAAAAGTCAGCCTCAGCTGATTTGTAATAGTTTCGAGAATATGAATAGGGAGAACTTGAATACGCAAAATGTGAGGGTACTAAAGGTGGACACGGTCCCCATCTCGGTTTATTCCATCAGCTGCTGAAGAGTAAGCCAACTGCATGGCTAAGTTGCTTCTGATTTTATAGAATCATGTTACATGGAACTCCATAGAAGCAGAAATGACTCGGTGCAGAGGATATTAATACATTATATCCTGATATATCAGGATATAATACCTGACAACTCGCAGATCTTATGGTTTGAATGAAGCTCATTCATGTAACAGAACTGCAGCCTCAATTCACAGCACAAGTGATGTACTGGGAACACTTATGACTGGGACTCCTTTTCCAGTGGCCAAAGATGCAGTTTTTCTAGGATAGGCTGGCCCTCTAACCAAAGTCAGCAAATGATGTCTTAGCAGAGGAGGGGGTGCAGAATGCTCTGTAGCGAGAACCCACCTGTGTCCCTTGGAATATATTAAACAGGTTTCGAGCCACAGTCTACCCTTGCCCGGAGCCTGCTGTGGAGCGCAGAGAGATGTTGGAGAGTGTCAATGTGAGGCTGGAAGATTTAATCACCGTGAGTAAAGGGTTCGGGCTCCTGATCCGAAGGGGGCTGCCGCCTCTGCTGTTTCTATCCAAGCCCTGCCCGCCGCGGCTCTCGCTGGGAGGCCGGCTGGAATGCTGGCTATGCCTTCTGGCTGTGGCTGTGGAAGGTTTCACAACTGGGAAACTGTTAGATGAGCTAGAGGGATGACGGTACAGGTGAAGAATGTTTTGACCAGGCTCAGAATTGACCACAGCCCTAGTCAGCCTTCAGGTGGCCACTCCGATCTGATAAAAGCCACCGTTTATTTCCAGCCTCAGCCTAGACCAAATCTATGATACAACCACCCAGCCAATTAAGTTGAACAACCAGTTTGACTGATTCTTTTCCCGATGAATTGCCCCACTGTTTAAGCTGACTGATTAATTCTGTAAAAACAGTGAGTCTAGTTTCACCGTGTGAACGTTCATTCATCCCAAACTCAATTCGTTTGTAAAGTCTGTCACCATCCAGGGTAACACTCAACACATTTATGATCAGAACGCTGTCTTCAATCACAGCAGCTTTGAAAGTGATCACTGAAAACAGCTGGGCCTCCCTCAGCTGGAAAGCGCTCCTCAGTGCTAGAGTGCAATAGAACTTACGGTTGTGACAAAAGGGTCACGTGGCCTGTGCTGTCCAACGTTGCAGTCATGAGCCACATGTGGCTACTGAGCCCTTGAAACATGGCTGGTACCACTAAGTCATCGAGTTTTTATTTTTATTTAATTTTAATTCAATTTAAATTTTAGGGCTGGGTGTGGTGGCTCATTCCTATAATCCCAGCACTTTGGGAGGCTGAGGTGGGTGGATCACTTGAGGTCAGGAGTTCAAGACCAGCCTGGCCAACATGGTAAAACCCCATCTCTACTAAACATAAAAACATTAGCCAGATGTGGTGGCAGACACCTGTAGTCTAGTCCCAGCTACTCGGGAGGCTGAGGCAGGAGAACTGCTTGAAGCCAAGAGACAAAGGTTACAGTGAGCCAATTGCATCACTGCATTCCAGCCTGTGCAACCAAGCGAGACTCCATCTCAAAAGAAAATAACATAAAAGGAAAAAAAATAAATAATATTTAGTAGCTGCATGTGGCTATGGTAGAAGTCAACACAGTTTTAGATGCTCGACAAGTATGTTAAATCTTTCAAAACTCTTAGACTAGCACGGAGCGTTTTCCAGAAAAATCTGTGTTTAATTTTTTAATCCTCTCTATTCCTTCTTCGTCACTTGTCAAGAAGACTTTCCCCTGAAGCCATTATCCTTGAAATCCCTTTCCCCCAATACTCCATGCTTGATTTTAGGAAAACTTCGTGAGGAGAATAGAAAAGAAATTCTGCTAAACGTATGCTTAGATTTAGTATGACTCGGTAGCTGCTATGTCGGTGGGCTCAGGTGATCCCAGCCCAGTGCCTTCTGCAAGGACAGCTTCTCTCCTGTGGTTCAGTCTCTGCCAATGCTGAATCTTAGACACTATCTGATGCTGAGGCATTTGGCTTCTGAAAGTCACATCTGTGCTGAGGTGGTCTTGTCTCCTGGAAATCCCCAGGCCAGGTGGCATTATACTGCTAAGTGACAGGTAGTACTGGGCTTGTGAAATGCTTCAGTGGGCCTCATGGTTCTCATTAATCTTAGAGCCACAACGTGTCTCTTACAGTGTGTCTCTTACAGAGGCCACGTGTACTGAAACAGATTACCCTGTTTGTTGTGTCATCAAAACGTAAAAACGATTTTCATTAAATAAATTCTGTGTGGGCCAAATTATCCATTCCTTCCTTCCTTCATTCATTCACTTGTCATTTATTGGAGTGATTATGTATATAAAGGGATGAGGTAGATGTGGTAGTTTCTTGGGGTTGCTGTAAGAAATTACTGCAAGTTGCCGGGTGCGGTGGCTCAAGCCTGTAATCCCAGCACTTTGGGAGGCCGAGGCAGGTGGATCACGAGGTCAAGAGATCGAGACCATCCTG